GTTATCTTAGTTAAGTCGTAAGTCAATCGAACGCTAATATACTTTACGTAACGACGTGGAAAAAGATACGATAAGTCGAAGCAGGAGGACTAAGCTTTTTAGCTGTGCAATTGCGATATATTTTCAACTTATTATTTTCATATCAGTCAAAAAAATTGTCGTAAAAATTAACAGACATATACTTAATTAATTATTAGGTTTCTTAATCGAAGTGTCTTGGTCGATTTAAAATTTTATTTGACTTTATTGCAAATAATTTCACTTCTTATACTCAATAATATATATATAGAGTCTTCATTCGATTGAAGAGTTATTAATTTTTTTCTACATTATTCAAGATATGAAAAAGAAAAAGAGAGAAAGAAAATTTGTGCAATTTTATTCGAAATATGAATTCTTTTATTTATTAATTTGTTAATTATGTATACATATGTAACATACATATGAAATATTGTTCTTAAATTTTACTACAATTATGTAATATCTAATTAGCTCTGAAAATTATTATTATTATTAATAAAATAAATTCGATATCAGAAATTATTGCGCAGATTCTCGTCATAAAATAATTTCAGGATATTGCAGCAAAAGACTGTGAAAAACAGATATATTCGTTCTATCTGTGATAAGCCTGTTAATTTAATGACTCGAAACGTCTCTCGAAATGATCAAATATGCTTTGTATATAAAAAATTATTGTGCAAAGAAAATATACTCTTATTTGATTGAACATATGAACGTATAAAAATAAAATTAAGCTTACACTTGACACGATCAAGAAGATTTATTATTGAACGATTGAATTAATAGAAGCATCCGAGAGTAAGTAGATTATTAATTAATAAAAATCCGATATTCTCCTTATTATTTATTGTCGATATTCGACATCACGTTTCGTCGATAGCATTAATTATTTCTCATGCGATTCAATAATTGCAATTTAATTCTTCTCTCGATAAGTTTTCTCGATCGTTATATCGCGTGGATACGTTTCGATAATTATTTTACGTTTCTCCGTTTGCTTCTTTTTTATATTGTAAGATATATCAAAGATCTATTTAAGGAGTCTGATAAAATTAGTTAATTTCGCAAGAACTAAATAAACGAAAAATCGATATAATCGAGTTTTTTTGGTTCATAAATATCAGATTTCTTAGAAATTCCTCATCTTTTCTTATTCCATTGTTATTTATTATTACATACGCGCGCGCGCGCGCATACATGTGTATGAGTGAATCGGTCATCGACATAAAAACAAGTCATATATTTTTATTTAAATTTTAAATATTATTCCTAAACGTTCAACATTATTCAATTTTTATATGATATATAATTTATATATATATATATATATATATATATATATATATAAATTATATAATAAAATATAATATAAAATATATTAATTTCCATATTTTTTTATCATGTATGTTAAGAATATTCTTTCTCTCTCGCTTTTTTTCTCCCTTTCTCTAAAGATTAAAATAGTTTTTATATTAATATTGAAACGGAAATGGATCGAGAAGTTATATAAGAAAGTATTTTAGGAAAGACATCATTAAGTAACTATGTAATCATCTCATTAAGACATAATTGAAAACGATAAAATTTCTCTCTATACAGCGACAAAAGTACAAGGAATAACGATCAGAATAATGATTAAATCTGCGATTAAATTGTAATACGAGAATACAGGTCTGATAAACTTTTTGCATTCGATAGACATAAATTTTTGCACCGTCACTAGAATATTAAATGCGAATGCAAAATCAAAAGACTTTTAATTTTAGATATATGTATGAGCATTCGTGTTTTTCCACTAAAACAATAAAAAGAAAGAGAGAGAGAACTAAAGAGTTAATATCGCGCAGGAAATTGCCGAGAGGTATTTGAAAAAGACATTCCTAAATACACAGAGTTGAAAACGAAGCACTTTTGCCTTTACATTTCCCTCAAATTAAAAGTTTTTTAATTATAGACGTTAGAGAGAACAATAATTACTGTTTTGAAAACGACTACCGTAATTATTTCTTGTTACGACGTAATGTTGCGCTGAAATATCCAATTCATCTTCATGAATATTCTTTTCTAAAGTATAAATTTACGTGCTTTCACTTTCCAGTGCACTTTTATCACAATGTAAAATAATACACTGCGTATATTAGTTAATTAAACAATACTACGAGAATCAAAAAACTACGAGAAAATCGAAAAATCGAAAAATATCGAAAAAAATCGAAAAATATGGACGGGACAAGAGCGAGTCGCTAATGTGTGACACGACATAACAACTCGCAGAATCGGACGGGAATCGCAGAGGAAAGTGGCTTCAATGGCCGAACCAAGGACGTACGTACATAGTAATTCGTCCGCGTACCTCGATTAATCACGTCCAGTTTTATAATCGTGTCGCTGAACCGCGTCGATACATGTAATCAATCGTGTCGGTGTCATAGGGCGCGTTAGTCACGCTTTTCGGTCGTTTCCTTTCTGAGAAATGTTTGCAAAAGGGCGCCACCGGTCGGGTAGAATCGGACGGGAGCCGCAGGGAGTCTTTTTTTTTTTTATGTCCGGTCGCGGCGTGGGTGGGCCCAAAGGAGCGGGTAGGCTGGGCCTCGAATCTGCAATCCGGTTTTTCACGCTCCGATCGACTGCAGGAATTTCTTCGAATCGCGCCTCATTAATTTCCCTCTCTCTCTCATGCGTCGAGAAAAATTACAGACATTAAATTGACACAAATTACATTTCCCTCCGGATTTTTTGCGCGAATAATAAATTTACCCGAGTATGTTGCATTAAACTTGTATGTAATAGAATTTCCGCGTTCGAGTAATGAATGTCGTGAACGATAAATTATCCATCGATAATTATATGCTCGAATATATTTTGCAATCGTCTATTACTCGTGCACATGTTGAATTATTCAGGACGACGTGCCGTTGAAAATATGCGCGCAGCAAATGGATCACCAAATGCAATTGCATTCGGGCGAATCATAGTTTGGAGCTTTTTCGCAATTGCGCGATACCTGCAATAGCAGTCGAATGAGGCCGATTGTCGTCGTTCGCGCCATTTCCCTTTCTGATGAAGCCGGAAATGATCGGAGGACGAGTTTTTTTTTTAGTGCCGGCCCGATTTGACGACAACGATCGACGATGGAGAGACGTAACGCGATCGAAATCGTCAAAGTTGCGATTATAATGTATTCCGCTCGCGTAAAGCGGACTGCTTTATTCCCGTCAGAGATATCCTTTCTCGCTCGCATCATCCACAGAGCGAGATTTTATTCCTCGGTTCATTTTCCGAAGCGAGAGAAAGCGCATCTCCGCGCGATTTTATTACCGCGACAGCGAAAAAGAAAGAAGAGAAAAAATTGAGTATATATAATATATAGGATATAGGGCGGTATTATGTCGTATGATAATAAAAGCTGGAGTAATCCGCGCCTGAAAACACTCGATAGCGAATATGCGACTCGGGAGAAAAAATTATTTTATGTCTAAAAAAGGAAAAAATATAGTGCCAATATATTGATTCGCAAGAAGTCGAAATGGCAGCTGAGATTTTTTTTACGAACTGCTAGAGAATGCACTTTGCAGTCAACGTTATATGAGATTTTCTCCTTATCTAGATATGACGTGATACGCACGTCCATTATTATTGGATATAATAATAATAATAATAATTTATATATATATTTATTTATTTATTTATTTATTTATTTATAGGCTGTCAGATGCAGATATCGAATCCATTAGCTTCCAGATGTTTTCTGAGATCTCGGAAAAAGTCGTTCATTGTCGCGGCAGGTGACAATATTATATCGTATCGCGATATAATCGCCCCGATGTGCAACTTTGCGTGACGACTTTGCAAAGGGCATCGATCCTGCAAAGTTAAATTATCTTCGGCAAAGCTTTAACTTTTCTACATTAAAACCGATATTGCTTACGCGACGCAATAGTTTGATATACATTCCCTGATTGAAATTATTTTTTATTTCGATCTCTTTCAATTCCTTTGTATTTATAGATTCCAAGAGGGATTTCGAGATAGATTTGTTTAGGAATTCCTATCTTTGTATCTCAAATAAACATACAGTTTCTTATTTAAAAGAAATTTAAAAGAAATGCAACAGGACTATAGATTGATTACTTTCGAAATTTGATTGCTCAAGATAAATTTTAGATTGAAATTGAGATCGACGAAAGTAGAAGCAAAATTAATGGATAATTAATGAAATTTCGAAAATGATTGATTTATAACGTATATAATGCTTATAATCATTTTCAAAATTTTATTAATGTTACATATGCGGCAAAATTTATCGGACATTTCTTTGAAGCCGATTATTCGCGTGTTGTACGCTACGATCGATTTCTATCTCTTAGAAGATTCATTGCAGGTGAACGCAGCTTGTATCTCGCGAATTCATTAAAATCGCTCGTGCGCGAGCACTCTGACATAGCAGGTCGTGACGTACTCGAAACAGACGTATCATGTATAGTTGCATACATATCCGCGTTTTTCGGGTACAAATTGCTATCTATCCCGACGACCAATTATACTTCCGCTTGTCAAACATCGGGATATTTCGATGATTTGGCTTTATCGCGAATGATTCACATATTCACAATATCAAAGGGAATTTTTCTTTACACTCATCGACAGATTTATTCCGTTTAATATGTCCACTGTTGGCTCGCCGCTAACTTTATTGTAGCACGCTTTTACGGCTACACGTGCAATTTTACGCGTTCATTGAGCGAAAATGCGCAATTTTAAATCTCGCCCCGATTACGCAAATTGTCCAATATTGCTACCGATTACGGAAAGAGAAAGAGAGAGAAAAAGAGACGCGTACCAGAACAAAATGGCAAACATTAGTTTAACATTTGATCACGCGAACGTAAAACGCATGAATAAAACAAAGCGTTCGCTGAAGAATTCGCGAAGCAGATCGCAATAATCGCAAGCGAATAAATCAAGGAGCATTCTAGTGTTTTAGTAGCAGAAATACCGGAACAATACGCAGCAGAGTGAATTATTCAGAACATTTGCACTAATCTAAGTGAGTGCATTCCGTAGCCCGTCACTCCCCACCGCTCGGTCTCGCGAAAGTGCGCGGCTTCGTTCTGAAGAAACACCGAAGAAAGGAGGATCCACCGAAAAAACCGAGCTCCGCGTCACCAACACAGAGAGCGAATCGTTTCCCTCTCTTATTCCCCGAGTGTCAGCTGGGCCCTCGTCGCGACAGCAGAAGAGAAGGCGCGAGAGACGGGAAGCGAGAGCAGAAGAGGAGAAAGGAAGCGAGAGAAGGAAGCACACGAACGTGCGCGCGAGGAGGAGAAAGGGTTTAGTGACCTCGTCGTCATAATCCTAAGGAGAAGCAGGAGTAGGACGACGACGACGACGAGGACGAGGACGGCAACGGCAACGACAACGACGACGACGACAACGTGCACGAGCGCGACGACGCCGTGCGCGACGAGACGACGAGGAGTGGCCGAGAAGAAGAAGAGCAAATTGGTGCTCCCGGTAGCAGGGGCTCATGAGCATCGTGGAGGAAACGTTGCGTAACGTGTCGAGGCGCAGCAGGCACGGTAAACGTGGCGGATCAGCTGGTGCCGCCGCCGATTGGTCCGCGGCTGGCGCGCGGGGCCCGGCCCAGCTGGCCCCCGTCGCCGCGTCCGGCGCCCCCGCCAGGCCCCAGGACATCGCGGGCCCGACTAGACGCCAGTCGTCGCGCGATAGCGTCGACTCCAGCGGCCAGCACACCCCACCCGATCACGCAGACCTCCTCTTCAAGGTCTCTGCCGCCTGATACTCTGGCGCGCTTTCTCGCTCGCCGATCTCGCCGATATTTACTTCCCTCGCGCTCGAAGTCACGATGATATTTTTCCTTCGGATTTTTGTCGTTTCCTCGGGTTTAATCTCGATCTCGTTGATTTCCTTTCGTGCGAAATAACTTGGTAACATTAAAGATTATTTTCTTATTTTTTAATATAACTTTCGGAAAATTAATTAAGACTCGTGATTTCGGCGTTTATTGGGCGAGCTAAACGAGCTGAGTAAAATGATTGTTTGAAAATTCTCGCTCACGATGCAGGTGATGTTACTTGGGGACAGTGGCGTTGGAAAGACCTGTCTTCTGACGCGTTTTCGCGACGGCCGCTTCCTGTCGGGAAACTACATAACAACCGTCGGCATTGACTTTAGGGTGAGAGACGTCATTTCATCTTGTATCGTAATACGTAATTTAATAAGCGGTGCTCTCGAAGAATGAGATGTTTGTTACGACTTGTTTGTTCTTTAAACGAGAAAGTTGCTCGCATTGGATGACTTGGTATAACTTCGCGATTCATGATCGCGAGCCTCGATCTTGTGGCTCTATAAAAGTTTTATTTCTTATATATTCTTGCAGAACAAAGTTGTCACCGTGGACGACACACCGATCAAGCTGCAAATCTGGGACACGGCCGGCCAAGAGAGATTTCGAAGCGTCACGCACGCTTATTATCGAGACGCACATGGTAAATCATATTTCCATATCGTAATAATCGAAATTAATTAATCATTAATTGACGAACATATATATTCACATCGAGAACTAGAATTAAGCACCAATTGGCAGAATAAATATTGAAACGCTGAAAAATAAGGAAAATACTAATCAACTGGATTGTTATATTGTTATATTACACGTCACGATAAATCAGGCAAGTCAAGCGTTCGCATTTGACTAATTGCGACTAACGAGCGTCTGAATTGATTTAATATACCAATAAAATGCAGCGATGTCGTTTCATAGAATTCGCAATTTGTCGACTGCTTCTGGCAGCCGATAAATTCAAGATCGTTAAGAAAATTTTTCATCATTCATATCACGATTTATTTTCACGCTTACATTGAGGGGCATATGAAACATTCTACTCGCGTTTTATCGTAGCAGGAAATGATGAGAGATATCTCTGCGAGAGAAAGAAAAGAGGGAGGGGGAGAGAGAGAGAGAGAGAGAGAGAGAGAGAGAGAGAGAGAGAGAGAGAGAGACGTGTTTCCGACAAGAGGCATCAGAGGCATTTAACGCGTTTGATTTTAAATCGAGGAGATTCTTCTTCTATGCCAAACACGGAACACAATTTCAACTCGATGATCGTTATCGATGCGCTATACAGGGTGTCCTGAATTCTTCGAATTTTTCCTTGAGACTTTTTTTTTTAATCCATCAATTAATTTAAAATAAAATTTTTTAATGAAGAATTTATAATTCATTTTCTCCAACTCTATTTTTTTCCAATGATCAGGTTTATTTTTTGTAATCAAAATTTCCGCAAAACTAAAAAGAAGTTTTTTTTTTATTTTCGCAGAAATAAATCCGTTACAAAATTGTCGGATATTAAAATTTTATTATCGGAGTGCTGTGAACAATTTATCTATGAGATTGGACTTGGGAAAGAGAAGAAGACTTTCGCAACAACGAGAAGTTGTCGAAATGTAGCGGTCCGCCTCCGGGGAAATCTTAATTGTTCATCCCTTTTCGACTCGGTTCAGCTCTTCGAGATTCTTCTCCTCCCTCTCTCTCTCGATTTATTTTCGCACTTGAAATAATCAATTTGCAATGTTGCCTCCAATTCTCGTCGCATCGCGACGAACTCGGGTCGACTTTACAATGCACGAACCATTTGTAACTTTGCCACGAACTCTCTCTCTCTAGTCGTTGCGCTCCCGATTTTGTTGCCCCGCCAATTTTGGCCGAGAGCCAAACTCGATTCGCGCAGATAGACGGGGCAGGAATACGAAGAGGAGGGTGCCTATGGGGGGGGGGGGAGAGCGACCTCATTGTTTGTCGGTAGGACCCATCTGTGAGTTCTAAAGTTGTTGCGACAATAGCGTTGCGTTGCGCCAACTTTATCGGAAGTAATCACTCCGGTCGAGTGAATGACTGTGTAATAATTAGACGTGTCACATCCATCTAGAAGATTAAACAATCGTTGAAACCGCGAAATCGCACGAGGCAAGAGTTCCGAGGGCGAAAGTGTAAACTAAGTTTATGTATTATTAAATTCGCAAAATACTTTAAATCTAAAAGTTATACACTTATGGCTTAAAAATAAAATAATTAAATTTAAACTATAAGATTTAAAGATTTAATTATGTAATAAGATTTATTTTTTAGAATAATATCCAAAGTAAATTTTCTATAAATATAAATTACACAATTAAAGAAAAAAATATATTTTTTACATTAAAAAAGTCACTATTTTCCATTGTTTTTTTAATACAATTCCAAATTTTGAAAAACTTGCGATTAAAGTAATTCAAAAAAAGATTACTTTATTAAGTATAATTAATATGTTAATATATTAATATATTAATATTTTATCATGTTTTCATATTATAATTACGTGTGACGTGTCGGAGAAGTTTTGTTATATATGTTGTTAGGATAGTGCTAAAAAAAAATTTGTTGTGCTAATTTTGATGATGAAATGCATTATAATTCATTTTTGTAATTTTAATAATAAATTTCTCAAAATTATAACGCATTGCTATTTGGAAGCTGGAATTGAGCATTAGAAAAACTACGTGAAATTATTATGTTTCTTGAGTACGTTTTTTTTATTGAATTATGTTATACGCTTATCTTCGTTCGTTTTTATCGTTTGACGCATCAAAGTTTTACAACATATTTTATAAAAAACTGCCGACTATCAGATGATGTCAAGTCGATTAGATCAACGATTAAAAAAAGAGTGATTTATGACTGATTCCAGCGCTTTTGCTGTTATACGACGTGACAAATAAGACGAGTTACGACAATATCAGGGCTTGGCTGAGCGAAATCCGGGAACATGCAAACGAGGATGTCGTCATCATGTTGCTGGGTGAGTCGCCGTTTATTTATGGTTCCCCTCGATGGTACCGATACACAATAGATCTGCCTACTTAGAATTCGCGTAAAACTTGGCGAGAGACTTTAATCTCCAAGAAATTAAACACCGGATATAAGGACCAAGTATAATCGTTTAGCAAAGATAAGAGTTCACTAGAAAGCTATCTGGATGACCCAGATTTGATTTCAACAACACCATCCGATTGTCCCAAGTGATATATACACATAGTTACCGAACCAATTTAAATCAAGAGATTCAGAACTAACAATCTTGGTTTCAGGAAGGATCAAATTTAACTTGCAGCGTTTCCGATTAAATGCAATTTGGGTCGCTTCGAGAGCAATTAAAATTGATTTTCATGCGAATTCATGTTTAATAGCAAGTGTGCGAAAATAATACGAAAGACAATAAAAAGAGATAAAAATATGTTCAATCTCTCATCTTAATTATTAGTTTTTCTTTTGAAATCGAATTTCTTTTTAGGTTTTATGATTCGAAATGTAAAAGTTTCGATCTTCAAATTTAAGTTAATTTCGGTTCATAAATTGACCTCAATTGCTCTCGGTTAATCCAAATCCAATTGAAAACGTTATTGCATCATAAAAATATATTTACCTGCTTTCTTTGCTCTACATTTATCAAATCGCAGGTAACAAATCCGACTGTGGAACGGAGCGTGTCGTTAAACGGGAGGACGGCGAACGATTAGCGCAGGAGTACAAAGTGCCGTTCATGGAAACGTCTGCCAAGACTGGCCTCAATGTCGAACTGGCATTCCTCGCAGTTGCTCGGTACGGTATCTAAAATTGACAAATGTAATCGTTAAAATGATGCGAATTAATATTGTTTAAGCCGATTTTAGTCTCGATCTTAATTTAATTAGGGTATATCTCTTTCTCAAATTGAATATTTTTAAAAACTGAAAAGAAACGAAAATCAAATGGAAGTTTTAATCGAGTTTGAATGTATTTTTTTCTGGTAATTTTTATTTTGTAAAGATAATAACTGGACCGTGTGTATGTATGATTATAACAGCTGATCGGCTCTCATTTCAGGGAGCTGAAGGCCAGAAAAAGCGACAACCCTGACGAAACGAAATTCAACGTTCAGGACTACGTCCGTCAGCAGTCTCAGCGAAACACTTGCTTCAATTCCAGCTGCTTGACAACCTGAACCATTTTTCTTTCCACATCAAAATAAGAGGATACGCGAGCTGGAATCGCGTTGATCGTATAAGATATATATGGCACGAGTTTCAAGCCATATATACAAGATTGGATTTTGATTTCTGTGTAAGATGATTGGTATAATTTTCGCATGCGCGAGACACGCCTGAATAGAAACTCGATTCGTAATAATTTCAAATGAATCGGAAAATCGAATAGAAAAACAGTATTAGCACTTTTTTTTTAAAACAATACGTTATTAAGAAGTATTATTTTATTTCGTAGAATACGAAATCGATCGCGCTCTTAAAAGATTAGAGCCGGTAGAGAGCTGCTCGACCTTTTCATGTAGTGTCAAAAAGAAAAGTAGAAAGAGAAAAAGAGAGAGAATGAGAGAGAGAGAGAGAATATGAATCTCGTTATAAACGTAAACATGTGTCAAATGATTGCTCGCATTTAATGTAATAGTTCTAAGAGAATAGAGAATCTCATGTATACACGACACACGAGATACCTCCATAAATAAGCCTCTAGCGCTCGATGGTTCTAATTTCGCATACACCATATGTCCGCATATATACAGTGACTCGCGAAATTCATCAAATATTTGGAAAATTTCAAAAAAGTTTATTTAGAAATGCATTATCTTGCGCATGCATGTATGTATCTATGTGTACGTATGTGGTATGTGTTTATTTTTTTCTCTGATAATATATACGAGCTACAAAAATCTCCTTTTAGACGCTCATTTCTTTCTTCATATTTCTTATTACTTTGTTAAATTTTATGAAAATTTTAAAATATTCGATCAACTTCGCGAGTAACTGTATGTTAATGTTAAACGCTCAGCGACGCGCGATTATTAAAAGCAATCGTAAGCGTAAATTACAGCTTATACTGGTTGTCGCACGCCCCGACTCTATAATCATTCGTTGCGCTGTTTGCATAAAGGAGTGCGATCTTCGATTTGCATACAATGTGCTTGTTACAAGTTATATAGCGCGCGTATTCATTCAACGTGCGGTTGCATCTGTCTCTTGGTGACTGCGTAAGTGAACAAAAATATCAATGCGAGCTCAGTCTCTCGGCATACTAAATAACATAGTTGTGATATAATAGTGTCGAAAGAGAGAGATAGAGAGAGACAGAGAGAGATTAAAAGTCTATGCACACTGCACGAAACGTCATATTATCGTCGCAAACTTTCCTATCTAGATTTGATTCTAATCAGCTCGAGATTATATTTTTGTTTTTAACATTAATATGTTTTCAATATAAAATTTACACGAATTCATAATAAAATTGCCCGAGAAAAAAGTCCATATATAATAAAATATAAATATATATATAATATATATATTCGTATATTTTATATATAATTATATATATATATATATATATTTGATTATATATGAATGTCTTTTTCCGAATGTAATGATCTTGGACCAAAAGAAAGAAACACAAGGAAGATTGTTAAAAAATGATAAAGAGAATGAATTCGATATTTTTCTTTTATTTTCGATTTTAATTTTTAATCAGAGAGAAATCATCCTTTTTCGAAATTACTTAATCTATAGTTTTATCGAAAACTTCTTTCTTTTTAACTATAAGTTAAATAATTTCAAAAGAGGGTAATCTAACTGTTTAAAGTACCGAATATAATAAATGCTAAACACAAAATTGAGAGATAAAAAGTAAGAGAAAAATTTTAACTCGGATGACATTACGTATATAGTGTGTATAAACCTTTATGCGTCTCTCGTAGAGGAGGAACGTCGAGAAACGATTCGTAGCTGCCATCTAGCAAATCAACATGCGAACACACTTGAAAATTTCCTCTGGACAAACGTCCCCGCGCGATGCTTCTTCCCTTTCTTTTTCTCGTTCTTGTAGCCGACAAATGTATGTGCGTTTTGTGATTATTAGTAGGCGCGTTTTGTATAAACGATAATTGAGATAGTTATCGAAGAGATACCAATTGGCTGATTGGTCGATGATTATCTCTCCAATCTCTGTAATCGAAGAATTAATGAAAGAAATAATGAAATCTATCGATCGTTATCGAAGTCAGAATTTTAAGCGAAGTTGAGAATCGCTCTATCAACAAGAGTCAATAAGCCTTTAACACTGTTTAATAAAGCTCTATCGACGTTACTATGAGGGGGACCCATTACAATCACTCTCGATTTCTTCTTGTAATAGAATTAATGGAAATCTAATCCGGAGACGCGCGCGCGCGGAAACGTTAATTTTATAGCAAACCGGGAATATATAGAGAAGAAAGAATTTAGAATCGATTTTTGTGCACAAGCGATTGAAGAATATATCGCGTATATTACATTCTGTTGTATACGATGTGCAATCTGTCTTATCTGCAGTGTACAAATGACAATTTTATGTATCAAATGTATATCACAGAAGGCATGTCTGAAAATAAAAAAAAGCCGACCACAGATATATTTCTCTGTACTATTTCCATCCCGATTGACATCCCATAATTTTCCTCGACTTTTTTTCCGATATATACTGATATAAAAATAGTATCGGTGGACGGTTTATTTTTTTTACTAGGCAAAATAAAAAAATTCGTTTTTGCTATGCAAAATAAAAATCTCGTTTTATATTAAAAAATACAAAACTATCCAATCTAAAAACCAATATAGAAAAGTTGTTTTTTTTTTTAATAGAGACGTAAAAATATTGTATAAAATATTTAAACGCATAGCAATATATAATTTTCTCTTTCTTTTATTTTTTATCTAACTTTCTTGTAAATAAATGTTGAAACAAAAATTAATTTATATGAACTTGATAACTTATATAATTGCAATAATAATTATACAGTTATCGTTAAATATATATTTTATTAAGATGAGAGATATGTTTCTCGATATACAAACTATATTCAGTAGATAAAAAATGGTATATTGGTTTTTAATTGTAGCTCATACATTGAAAATAAAAATTTGTACTCATAGATATTTCCAAGAGAAATTGTTCTCTTTCAGAGAGATTGTATATCATATTAATAATATTATTTCACACTTTCTTCCTGAGGAAAACCGGCCATTTTTAAAATAAAGAAATACGAGAAACATAGGTTCTCCGACAAACTTCATGAACTTCCAATGAGAATAAATGAATCGAAATAACTAACTTTATACAACTCACCTTGCTCCTCTCTTAATCACGCATTGACTACAGATCCGGAGGAAATAAACGGACGAAATATCGCGACGAAATAATCAATAAAATAAAATAAATAAAATCAAAACAAACTTTTGCGACACTTTGTGACGACGCGCCGCTTTTCGCCATCGAAAAATCGTTCAAACCGACTCTCGAAACGCCCGTTCGCGCCATCTCGAGGCTACGCCGGCAAGCTAGGACGCGTGGAACACGCGGAACAGGTCTGTCCTTTCCGCCCTCCACCCCGCCCCACTCCGCCGGCTCCGAGCGGCTCCCGAAGTGTGTCCTATCTTCGAGCGGCAAACAAAACGCCGCGTCCCCTAACCTGGGTGAGAAGGGAAGTGCGTCACGCAGAGCGTCCCGTGTTCCCGCTTCGAGCATAGCGTTTCCTGGCGTTCCCAGAGCGAGCGCCGGTCCACGATGGAGGACGAGGACGTGATGGAGATCGGGAACGTGGAGAATGTCTGCCGGCTGTGTCTGTCCGTGGACGAGCCGAGGTCCTCGGTGTTCGCGCAGGATCGAGAGGAGGACCCGTCCAGCGTGTCGCTGGCCGCCAAGATCCAGGCTTGCTTGTCGATCCAGGTAGGCCTCGGCTCTGCCGAGGAGAATTCGTCCTCCTCCTCGTGCAAGGTCGACTCGCACGGGATCACCGGAGAGGAGGATCGTCCACTTGGTGGTCGAGTATCTTCGAGATGCGCGAGCTTTGAGGTTACATTCGTATAAGAAAGGGCGATGATCGAGATAATCAAAAGATGCTTGTGTCATGTGATCGGGACATTCTTTCTTTTGATGCTTTCTCTCTTTCTCTTTCTATTTTCTTTCCTTTCCTTTCTTCAATGCGCGTTTGTCTCATTTTAGATGAATGAATGAGTGAATGAGTCATTTTAGATGCTCTGGATATGCAGTCTTCTCGAGTCTTTTGACTTCAGACTTCAGAGTAGCACAGTCGAACATTTAAGTACTGCAGAGAGAAGTGATAATATATAAACAGTTAAAAAACTAATAGAAATAATTTGTTGTGATAAACAGTCTAATATTAACACAATGTCATTATATGTGAACATTAATGGATAATCTTATAAAAATTTTAAATTAAGATTAATTATAAATATAAAGATATTTCTTTTAAAAATGTGGTTTCTTTTAAAAATAGTTTACTAAAATCTTAAATTTGCTCTTAGCTTTTAGTTTTCTGATACATGTTTTAATTGAAATAGATATATACAGCTTCAAGAAAAAAGGAGAAGCAAAATGTTTGGAAAAGAACAAAAGTGTTAGATTTTCCAATCCAGCAAGTTTGATTTATGTTTGCTTAAAATTCTCGAAATTATTCAAATTTTAATATGTTAAAATATCTTTTTTTCAGATTTCACCCACTGATAAATTGTCCACGCTGATATGCGCAAATTGTGTGAAGAATGTTAATCAATGGCATACTTACAAGGAATCATGTCTGCGTTCACAGGATAAGCTGCAAGAATGGCTAGCCACCCAATCGCAATCAAATCCTACAGTAAGTGAATATATGATATTTTAAAATATACCATAATCTTTTAAATTATTTCTATTTTGATATTCATGTTTCTCATATTTGCAGGTTATAACAATCAAAGACGAACCAATGGATGTTGATTATGAAGATAATGTAGAAATTATCTCGGAGACTACCAATAACTTGGAACAAGCAGTAAGTATAATTTTTCTCATGTAAAATAAACTTATCAAGACTAATAGATATTTTTTAAATATAAATATTATATCTATTTTTTAGCATTCACCGATTCAAACAGTGGAAAACAAGGAAACTGATAATAAAGAAGTTCAAAAAATAGATGAAAATGATGCAAATGACACACATAAAGAGAATGACTCGGAGACAGTTCCATCTGCAACAGAAATGCAGTCTGAAAAAGACCAAAATCAAATTGATCAGCAAGATACTGCAGCTCTATGTTCCATTAAAATCGAGCCACAGGACGATGATGATACCGATTGCACTATCGAAGTAGAATCTGCGAACGATAGTGAATTATTATTAAATCCCATGGCAGTTTCCACAAAGGAAGACACGGTTATGGAAGCCGATTCTACGCAAAAGTCTAACGCAGCTAGCTCGCCGCCTAAGAAGAAATTCAGACGCGGTCCTCATACTCATTTCAGAGGAACGCGCGTCGTTAAAAAAAAGTGCACGCATTGTCAAATATTCTTGCATTCCAAATACTCATATATAAAGCACATGCAGAGATTCCACAGCAAGGAGAACGGCGGTATCGAAAATTTGGAGTCGATATCGCAGAATGATGACGAAGAGATGGTGGAAGATTTAGAAGACGAGTTGGTCAGTATGGAGAAAGACTCGCCACTGACGCAGGTCCAACAGGAAATTATCAGCCAGTTGAAAACATTCTCTTGCTATTCCTGCGAACAAACATTCAACGATCGGCGTAGCACGCTCTCCCACATACGCCAACATCTACCGGATTTGAGACCGTACACGTGCATTGCTTGTTTAACCGAATTTCCCGATCGATCCATGTACCAATTACATTGTGGCGCGTCCTTTGAATGTGCCATGAAGATTGCCTTGGTAGTACCCAAACATGGTAACGAGCGGTACTTCACCTGTAATATGTGCCTACGTTCAATGCGCGATAGAAAGGAGTTGTTGAGTCATTTGTCGAAACATTCTGACAAGCAATACGAGGAAATGATGTCGCCAGCACGCGCACCACCCAAGCTGAAACCGATGGCGCCCTTGCCATCCGAGAAAAGCAGTTCCGATAAAACGAAGACTGTCAGCGGACCTTACAAGAATGGCGATCCAGCGCACAATCATGTCTGTGATCTATGTGGCATGATTTACAGATATCGACCCAATATGGTTAGACATCGCGAGTTTTGCATGCGGTTGCTACCGGAAAATAGAACATCGTACAAGTGCGCGCACTGTTCCATGACGTTCCTTGTGTTCAAGAAATTCCATACTCATATCACAGTTGATCACAAGAAGAAGGAGTTTACTTGCGTCGTGTGCAACTCGAAATTCCGATCGCCCAGCGATTACTTGACTCATCACGAGAATCATCGCGCGGCGACACACGACGGCAATCGTCAAACACAAGACACGTCACGAAACGAAGTTCAGGCGCCATTGAAGGAACGGAATGCCTACCGAGGGGACGCCAATCCGCCTAAGTCGAGACTCGGTAGTCAAAAGTATAGTTGTGCGCTCTGCACCCAGGAATTTTCCACAAGGACTGAGTTAACAGAGCATCGGAATCTCCATCTTAAAGTGAAAATATATTCGTGCGCCATTTGTCGCAGCATGTTCAGTAGTCCTGGCGCGTTGGAGATCCATATGAAGGATCACGGCATCGAGGACCCGAATGAACGAAACGCTAATATCTCTTGCGTGGAGTACGGCAACTTGGATGAGGATGTGAGGATCGATGAGAAAGATTCGATGAACGCTAGTGCCGTCTCGGATCCTGGTACAAAGATTCATGAATGCTCTGAGTGCGGTAAGGTAATGTCAAATTACGCTAATCTTCGCCGACACACCAAGATCGCTCATCGGAATGCCAAGATATATGATTGTTACGAGTGTTCGCGAATGTTTACGCGTAAGGAGATGTACGACCACCATATGCAGCTCAAACACAAGTCGAAGGCAATGTTGCAATGTCCCCAGTGTCCCAAGAGTTTCGTCTTCCAGTCGAACTTTACTTATCACTTTCGCACTGCCCACCTTGAGAAATCGCAAAATGGTTACGCTTGCGACATTTGCGGCAAGGTTTTCGTGGAGGAGGCATCTTTGAAGATACACAAGGGTTGGCATAATCGCGCCAACTCTCGTTTGAGCACACGATTCATACTAGGTAATCAGAAGGCGTCAAATAACGAATTACAAATGGAATCAGTCAGCGGCGAATCGGGTGAAAATTCGGAACGTCCGGCAAGAGCACGAAAGTCATTTCCCAATCCTCCGCTTCAATCAGCGACGACGTCGTCAGAGGGGAATTTCCAATGTCAAGTATGCAATGACAAGTTCAACGATGTTACGGAGTTGAGAAACCATCTATGGGATGTTCATTGCGCCCGTAACAAACCAGAGAAGAATTTCTGCAATGATGAGCTCCAGTGCGAGCTCTGCACGAACGTTTTCCCCGATCAGGAAACTTTGGCGTCACACATGCATTGGCACAAGGCCAACCCGATTCTCAGCGACATAAGAAAAGCGTACTCTTGCGACGTATGCGGCAAGTCTTACAGCTCGAAGAAGGTCTTGTGGAAACACAAGAAGCTGCACAAGGCTACTGTCGTAGCGTCGATCAAGTTCCAATCCTTAGCCAGGAAACCGATGGCTAGCCAATTTCTTTGTAACTTTTGTCGGAAGGTCTTCTCTAGCGGCCAATCGTTACAACGGCACAAGCTCAGCTTCCACAACGAGCTACAGAGTTCACAACGGACTCAGCAACAATTGTACAATAGCAATCGTAAATTGTCGTACGAAGATGAACCGAGACCAAAACGTATGAAACTCGAGATCGACGACGATAATCCGCCTAAACTGCCGCCTTTTGCCATGGATTTTGCCGGTGAGAGGAGGAAGCCGGTTATGTGTCATTTGTGTAAGAAGATGTTTCCGAATATGAGCGTACTGTACAAGCATAAACAAACCACACACAAGCATCGAGCGAGGAAGGATGTGATACCCGAATGCATACCGATGTCGACTCAGGATGGCAAGTTCTCGTGCAACATCTGCTTCAAGGAATTTCCAGGCCTATCGAATCTGCGACAGCACTTCACCATTAAGCACAAGAAGGGCCCGAGATCCAGTCATCCCCCGTCGAACAGCGACGCAACCCCCGAACGACCAATACGACCGACGAAGGAACCCGAGTCGCCGACTCACAATAACATCTTGTTCAGCTGCAAACTGTGCAAGCAGTGTCACGTCTTCAACAAAGAGGCGATCATAAATCACATCACTACTGTGCACAACGCGGTGTATCAGGCCGACAGTAGGACGTTCCACAGAGAGGTCAATCTGGGCGGTTACGTAGTGAAGGGTGCGATCGGGGCTACATGTCCGCGATGCAACGTCAAGTATCCCAACAACCGGGCTCTAAAGATACACTACATCAAGTTCCACGAGAACGCCGATTAAACGTTTATAGCTGCTGGAAACTTGGATTGGTGCCAGGTGGAAAAAGTTCTTCTCCATATCCCGTGATCACGAAAGGATCGATAGATCTTCGCATCCCGAATCATGATTCTCTTCGTATTGTAAAACGCTCTTGCGCGACATGTTCCTGAAACAACATTGATCAATCGTTTTTACGTAAATGTAAAATTTACTTGATGACACAACTTATAATGAACTCGCGATAAGTTGAATTTTGTTTTATTATTGTAAATCAGTGATTCGCGAACGCTTAAACATCCATAATTTCGATGTTTGCGAGATGATATAACAAAGTACACAAGTACATTCTCTCTACAGATTGTTTCAGTGTGTTAACAAGAGCTTTCGTTTTGCACGCGCAACAATTACTTTCATAAACGCGAACGATTTACACGTAGATGAATTGTTATCTATTTGATACAGCAACTGTTGTAATTCTTACGACCAATGAAACGTGTAAATATCGAGGTGATATAGAGTAAATATTACATGACTTGATGAAAATCGTGTGCAGCCTCTCGGTGTATTGTAGTTATAAGTTGATTGCTGCAGCCAGGTGTTATATATATTCACAAGGCAATCTCTTATCATAAAAAGTAGAACCTGTAGAATTTTTAATCCTCCCACGAAACTGCGTTACGAATTTGCGAGACTTTTATATGTTCTCAAAAAGAGGAAGTAATTTTAATCCTAATTTCTCCCCCTCCCTTTTTTCCATTTTTCATTCTTTTCGTCAATCGGTTTATTTATTACGCTTCGCAAGATATATCGTGCAACCTGGTTGCAGTAATGACGAATAATCACTTTAGAGGTGTACTACAATTGCTTAGACTACCCACACCTTATCTAATATAGATTATAACAATTATATATAGAATGCAAATAAATATGAATATCTTGCTTATACGTGACGATATTTATTAAGTTGTCCTTATTGTATTCTGTTTTGCAGATTACGTTCCTTTTATTCGTTCCTTTTTCTCTTTATCTTCATCTGAATTAACTATGTGTTATATTAGTTGATTTAAATTACTTTGTGACTCATGAAAATTGCAGTAATGAGAGAATTAAAATTCTAAAATGAGGAAAAAATTGTTAATTTTTATTATATCGAATTATTTTGAAACTAATGAAAAATAATAACAATTAAAACTAATAATTTAAATTGACAAATGAAATTTTGCGTATTGTATCCTCGATAATTATATCGTATAAATTAATTTTATATCATATATATATATATATATATATATATATATACATATAAAATAACAGAAATTATATAATAATAAATATCAAAGCGGTAGCATAGAAATTATATGACTTGAGAAATGCAGCCTTATATTATAAATTGAATCATACAATATATATATGTATATAAAATTATCAAGTTTTTCGCTTGTGTGATATTCTATATATATATATATATATATATATATATATATATATATATATATATATACATACACACAGGGTGGCCCCGAACGTTCCAGCCAGACTTTGAGATCATATAGGAAATTTAATTCTGAACAAAAAATTTCATATATGATCTCAAACATGAATCGAAAAATGCTTCCTTAAGAAGTTATCGCTCAAAAACTTCTGATGAAGGAAGAGCAAAAAGTGGAAAGAAAATGAAATAAAAAGAAAATGAAGCTAAATAAATTTCTTGAAAAAAACGGTAAAAATAAAAAATAAAAATCTTTTTCTTTTATGAAAATAAAATAATTTTTTTTAACTAATATTTTAGTAATAGCACGTAATAGTAGAAAATGAATAAAGACGTTTTTCAAGAAATTTATTTTGTTTCATTTTCTTTTTATTTCATTTTTTTCATTTTCTTTTCACCTTTTACTCTTTCTTCATCAGGTTTTTGAGCGATAACTTCTTAAGAAAGTATTTTTCGACCCATGTTTATAGAAAATTTTTTGTTCAGAATTAAATTTCCTATAAGATCTCAAATTCTGGTTGGAACTTTCGGGGCCACCCTGTATATATATACATACACACACACACACACACATACATATATATATGCATACATATATATATACGTATATATCGAATCTCATAAGCGAGAAATTTAATAATTGTAACCAGTTTCTTTGACATCAGAGGCTGCGATAAGAGATGTTCGAAATTTTGAGGAAACAAAATATACAAAAGCTACATAAATATGTATTGTATTATAAATTACTACATTTCGATTAAGAGATCGATGATATATACTTCTACAATCAAAATTTATATCGATTTCGAGTAGTTATTTTTACTTACCTATATTACTTATTTTTAGGCACATATATGTAGAGATATGAATATAGAATATGTATATTTCATATACATATATACATATAAATTACAGAAATTAAATGATTGTACTTGTAATATGTCTCTTGAACTTACCTGGTTACAGCTATTGCCAATCTTCTAAGAGAATTTCTAGAGAACCGAATATATGCGAAGTGTTACAGTAACTTGATATTATTTTCACCGTATAAGTTTTGTTGTATTTAATTATATTTGTAAATGATTCAATAAAAGAATAATAAGCTATTGTTACTTTTAAACAACATGGGGCTTTGTCTATCGATTTCTTTTCATCTTCGATGATTGTCAAATGTATACAAAAATATATATATCGTACATAATATAGAACAAAGTTATACAATTACGCACATTAACGATAAATATAGTTAAACGTAGGATTAAAAAAAAGTCAAGTCGAAAACGAAAAAGGGACGATAAAAAAAGGAGACAAAAAAATTGTCACAGAAAAAATTGCAAACATCGGTTTGCAATCTGCATCAGCAGAGAAGATCCAAGAAAATCAAGAGTACAACTGTCACATCGAATATTCATGAATACAATGTTGCGTATAAATAGATATTTATGAACATCGACATTTAAAATGTATATCGCAATATTCCATGATTCTATTTTCAGAACTAATGTAAAAGAAACGTCGCAGTTTTCGCAAACAATCTTAAATATACTCCATTATTACGGAAATGTTTTAGCAGAAATATTATTTTTATCTACTCGGATGAAAGAGTGCCATTTAATTCATGCTAGTATAAGACATTTTTTATGTCAAGTTCACGAGTCTCTACACCTGGCACCTCATTATTTTAACTGCTTTTATATTGTTTCATTAAAGTCTTATTTTTTCGAATATTTATTTGTTGAACATCTTATTGTTCCAGACTTGCTTCGAATCTCTCATTATTTATGAGCGACACGTCGAAGACACAGGGACGTTGCATAACGGTACGTTCGACGGCGATAAATTCAAAGGCTTGCGGATGTCACGGGGATATAAATAAGGTAGGATAGAGGTAGAGATATACAAGAACAATGACGAGCGAATATTTGATACTTTCTTTTTTTTATGAATGCACAAAACATTTTAATATAAACTTAAAAATCCGTACAACAATATGAAAAATTATAGACTATTATACACATGTATATAGATATATATTTATATTTATATATGCGTCGTACTTTTTATATTTTTTCCATTTTCCAGGTTTATCAATATATATATATATTTTTTTATTTATATATATTATTTGTGTGTGCTTACTCCTTTGCTATATATCTTCTTTTTTTATCAACGGGATGGAAAACTTCCGTCTCTCACTAAGTATATGTATATTATATATATATTTATATATAATTATTTTATTATATGTATAAGTATGTATATATATATATATATATATATATATATATACATATATTAATGTGTGTAGAAATATAAAGTAAACCGTTGAACGGTCCCGCATCGCGTCTCACACAATTAGAGTGTGTCAACTCGCTAGAAATTCAGAGATAATAATTTATGTATATCGATAATCGTATTTTTTTTACGGTAAACGCCGACATGTAATCATAACAATGACAGTAATGTCGCGTGAAACACGCGCGCATAGTTTATCTCGCAACAATACGTTTTGTGTTAGGAAGATGTCTATTTTTTTTTCTTTTCCATTTACGACAGAGGATGGCGAAAAGAGATATATGAATGTCGCACTCACACACATACTCGTCGAATCGCGGACGCTCCGGATCTCCCGCTAATGTTTCATATTTTGTATTGCAACGTGTGCATACGTATGTGTATGTATGTGTGCATGTTATATTGTGTGTAAGAGTGTACGTGTCGACGAGAATGTGCACGATGTCAAATGTCAAATGTGTCCATATATGTATATATAGATCTGGTATAGAGATGTAGATTTTATATAAACATTTCTCCCTCCCCTCATCCTCCTCTCGTGGGAGAGTATTATACCGCTTAATATGTGTATCGTACTGACATGGGTAAACATTAGGTACATAACACATCGATGGAGACACAGATTAGGCCAAATTGCTCTTTTTTCCTCATAATTTCTCTCTTTTTCTCATTCTTTCTCTCTCCCTCATTCTTTCTTTCTCTTTCTCTTTCTTTTTTTTCTATCGTCATATGTTATATAGCCATTGCGACTTGATATGCGAGTCTCTCTATTCCAATCATTATTCTGTCTCATAATCGATAGGTGTATCCTTTCGAGATAAATTAAATGCTAAATTGCACACTTCTATCTTAATGCTTGACTCTTTAATGGAAAAATTGTGAGAAAAATCTTATAAATCCTGCACTGGGAATTATACATAACATGTAACTCATGTACATAATAGAGAAATTAAGAATAAAATTTGTGAAATTTGCAAAATGAAGCACTATAAATTTACTGATTCATCATCCGATGCCAGGAAATTTATCTGACATTTCCGATTTACATATTTTTAATTTGTTATTATATATAATGTTTCTTTGCTTTTCTTTTTATTAAATTTTTTCCAAAGAGTTTACTCGAGGATAACAACAATATCTGAAATAACTTGATCTGATTTAGCTCGTATCACAATGGGTGGTTGATAAAAAAGAAAGATGAAGATATCGAAGGAATACACTTCTCGTTTTCGATATCGCGGTGCTGGAAATTTCACTTTCTCTGTTGCAATTCTCCCGAGAATACGTTAGAATACAAAGAGCTTTACGTAGTAAAGAGAAGAGGTATGTCGTTGTGTTCGTTATCAGGCTCGGAAGGAAATATGGAAATATGAAGAAACGTGAGTTGTATTTCTCAAATGGATTATATTTGATTGGAGATGTACGATGTGAGCAAGCGAAACGTTCCCGGATGGATTCTCTTGTTGAGACGAAAAAGAGAAAGATATATCGAAAATAATAGTAATGAGAGAAGACTTTAAAAAAAGATACGAAACGTTCTCCACGTTAGATTTCATATTGTGAAATAACTCATATCGTAAAAAAATAGCACGATTCCGATATCTTTGGCGACACGACTTGACCGATATTTTTAGCTAGTTGCAGCAAAATACAATGCGACAGCTTTTAGAACGCAGTAGCTCTTTTTTCAAGAATTATGAGCATTATCAGAAAAAAATAAACTTCTACAAAAATATTTGTCATTCAAATTTGTAAATCAAGTTACAAGATCAAAAATAAATTTTATATTGTAACAAGCAGAATAAAATAAAATAATCTATTTTCCAAAAAATTCATAAATCTAAATTTAATTATAATAAATTTATTTAAACCATGCAAATTTCCGCTTTTTCAACATTTAAAATATCTTCAGAAAACATCCACATATTTTGCCATCAAAATTATCGGAATCTTTTCTAAAAAAAATTATTTGTAATTACAAATATAAAAACAGTAAGGAGAGTTAATAAAGATAATTAATTTATAAAATTGACAAGCGCCCCCCCCCCCTTACAGCGGTGACGTAACACGAAGCTAGGAAAATAATTCGAAAACGAAAAGAGAGTCGTTAATTTTCACCTACATCCACCTCTTTGAAATATACCGTGTTTCTATCGCGGTTGTCGCAAACGTCGTCACCACTGTTCATTCTAGCATTCATTATTAGAATGCCGCGGAGAAGGGACCTTTATCGCGA